GGTGAGTGGTTTATCTGGGTTTTATTTTGGGGGGGGATGATATTCATAAGTTAGGATTCCTTAATTGGGATATTCTTTGAAAAGGCAAAAAAAAGCCACAAAATATTAATATTCAAGTTCTTGACTTGTCTACAGTTTAATTCCTTTTGTGTTCTGTTCTTTGCTGTGAATTTTTGAAGTGAAAAAAGCAAAAATTCACTTTGAACCAAGAAGACGACTCCTCTCTCTTGTTTATGCAGTTTCTAAATGGCAGCTTTAAGAGAGAACTGTTGTGCTGAGTGTGGTGGCACACACTTGTAATCCCAGCTACTCAGGAGGCTAAGGCAGGAGAATGGCAAGTTTGAAGCCTGTCTGAGCAATTTAGTAAGACCTTGTCTCAAAATAAAAAGGGTTGGGGGTATAGCTCAGTGGAAGAGCCCTTGCCTAGCATTCACAAGCCCCTTGGTTCAATCCCTGGGTACTGAGAAGAAAGAAAAACAAGGAATTGTTTTACTTCTCCATTGTTTTTGCATGTGAAAACAATCCTTGTGAAACTGGGTAGTGCTGAGAAGTTACTCATTCTATGGCTTTTAAAAAAAAGGTACACAGTACCTTTATTTATTTATTTATTTATTTATTTTTATGTGGTGCTGAGGATTGAACTCAGCACTGAGGATTGAACTCCAGTGCCTCACACATGCCAGGAAGGTGTTTTACCACTGAGCCCCAGCCCCAGCCTCTATAAATAATGCCTTGAAGTGTAGTACAAGTGTCAGGCCACCTTCACTGAACTGTATCTGTTCCCTGTTGCAAAAGTGATCAAAGGTATATGTTTAGTCTTGAGATTATAGGCATTTATAGTTTAATTTTTAAAGCAAAGAAGAGTTTCATAGTATCTTTTCATCAACATAGATATAGACCGTGTTCTTCTGGCAGCAAGTGGAAATTAATCTTGGATAACCATAGTATCTATCAACAATAATGTACAGATACTTTGATGTTTCACTGTGAATAACCAAGTAAATGGAGTGTAAAACATCAATTTTATGTTTCTCTTGAGCACAATGTAGAATTTCACTCCTTATATATATTCTGAAGGTATCATTATTTGAGGCATTTACAGAAGACCTCAAATAATGATATCTGAGCTTTCAGACTGTTTATTGGAGCAGTGAATATGTTTTACATATAGATTAGGTTTCTCTGTATGGCCTTGTAAACATATACACACATTCTCAAGTATATCCACAGAAAGAAATTACTTAATAATATCAAAAGGAAAATAGTAATTTTAAATTGGAGAAACCTGGTGGATTGCTTTAACAAGTGATCAGAGTTGAATCACCAATATTGGGACAAACTGTATCTTGTACTTCCTAATTTTGATACTCTGAGAACACAGGTATTCTTGCCAAAAATGCATGAGTTTAATCTACTTGGTTCTATAAATCAACTGATTTGTATTCTTAAAAAAAAACTCAAGGTCAAGCTGGGTGTGGTGGCCTATAATCCCAGTAACTCCAGAGACTGAGGCAGGAAGATGGCAGGTTTGAGACCAGTCTGGGCAACTTAGTGAGACCCTATCCCAAAATAAAATTTTATAAAGGGCTGGGGATGTAGCCCAGTGATAGGGCACTCCTGGGTGCTGTTTAAAAAAAAAAAAGTCAAGAAGGGGAATGATTGAGGAATGTTGTAGGTTAAAGGTGACTGATACACACCACAACTATATCTATGTGTGAACCTGGAGTGAATCCTGAACAGGAAAGGATATAAAGTACATTATTGGGACAATTAATAGAGATTGAATATAGATCATAGAATATTATACTTTTTTGATTTTGGTAATTAACACCGTGTTTATGTAAAAATGTTCTTTTCCTTAGGAAATATACATGCAGTATAATGGAACATGCTGTCTCCAACTAATTTTTGGTTATTAAAAAAAAGTGATGGATGCATGCATGTACATGTATATGTTGAGAAGATAATGAAGCAGATGAGGAAAAATATAAACATAGGGTGAATCTGGGTAAAGATTATGTGGGATTTCCTAGTGCTGTTCTTGCAACTTTTTTGCAAGTTTGAAATTATAATAAAAAGCCATGTAAATATAACTGAGTGGTGTTAAAATTCTTTGATCCAGTTCATCATTGTGGTTTCAATTCTTTTTCTATGTTCCTTTGCAGAATAGCCTTTAAATGAAAATGCTTTGGCTGGGGATATAGCCCAGTAGTAGAGCCCCTTGCCTAGCATGTGTGAGGCCCTGGGGTTCAGTCTCTGGTACTGCAAAACAACAAAAACAAAAATGGAAATGCTTAATTATGCCTTTCAATTCTGGGGTTCTTCACGTTGCAGAATAGCATGCATTAGGCTTAAAGCAGCTGTGTATTAAAATCAGTGGGAGATCAAGGAAAAATAAAAGAGTTCAGGCAGGTGGTGAGAAAACTGAATAGATATACATTTCTACTTTAATAGTGTGGTTTCATAATATTCTTTGGGAAAAATGTAAATTTTTAAAATATCAGACATAGCCATGTTCAAGCAAAGACATTATCAAAAACTGCCAAATGGACTTTTTTTTTTGTGTGTGTGTGTGTGTGTGTGTGTGTGGTGCTGGGGATTGAACCCAGGGCCTTATGCATGTGAGGCAAGCACTCTACCAACTGAGCTATATCCCCAGCTCCCCAAATGAACATGTTTTTAAAAATATATTTTTAGATGTTGATGGACCTTTATTTTTATTCATTTATTTATATGCGGTTCTGAGGATTGAACCCAGTGCCTCCTCACACATGCTAGGCAAGTGCTCTACCACTGAGCCACAACCCCAGGCCAAAATAGACATTTTTAAAAGTACAGGATGAATTATTTCTTAGCTTGAGACCTGAAGTGTTTCAGATTTTGGAATTTTTTGGGTTTTAGAATATTGATGTAGATTTTTATCATTTGAACATATGCTCAAAAGTTTAAGCTTTTGGAGTAGTCTGAATTTTGGATTTCATCTAACGTGTTTTTATCTATCAATCGATCTATATCTATCTGTGCTGGGAACTGAATCCAGGGGCACTCTGCCACTGAGCTACATCCCCAGCCCTTTTTATTTATTGAGACAGGGTCTCTCTAAGTTGCCCAGGCTGGTCTTGAAGTTGAAATCCTCCTGCCTCAGCTCCTGAGTAGTTGGGATTCCAGATGCGCACCACTGATTGAAGAAAAGCATTGTTTAAAGAGAAGCTTTTTAGAGTCATATTGCCAGTATTTGTTATAGTAAAGAAACCTGGGGGCTGAGGATGTAGCTCAGTGGGAAGTCAGGTGGGAGGTCTTGTTCTCACAGGTCTTGCTCAGTGGGAGGTCTTGCTTAGCATGTGTAAGACCTGAGTTCAATCCCCAGCATCACACCCTGTATGTATATTCTCTGTGTGCTTTATTGGTACAAAGTAGTGAATAGTCTAATTACTGCCTGGCTTATGAAACAGCTAGGAGTTGCACTTGTTTTTATTATTTGTGATTTGAACCTAATATTTTTAGTGTGTGTGTGAAGCTTGTCTAAGTACTTTTTGTTCTTTCTTTTTTTTTTCTTTGACAGTATTGTTAGCCCATTGTAAAAACAAAATTTGAAAACTATAAAAAAGAAAAAAAATGACCCATAATCAGTCTTTCTAAAAGTAACTGCTGTTAAGAATATTTTCTTGGGCTGGGGATGTGGCTCAAGCGGTAGCGCGCTCGCCTGGCATGCGTGCGGCCCGGTTTCGATCCTCAGCACCACATACAAACAAAGATGTTGTGTCCGCCGAAAACTGAAAAATAAATATTAAATATTAAAAATTAAAAAAAGAATGTTTTCTTTTTGTAGTTTCAAAAAACATAGTGGGCATTATACTTGTATACAATTTGACCATGCTTCCTTCATGTAACATATCATGCACATTGTCCCACATCATTAAAAATTCTTTTGACACTGTTATTTTTAAACTTTTAATAATAATCCATTATATGATGAACTACAATTTACTTCTTTGTTCTGAGATAATAATTTTGAAGGCAAATAACATTGGTTATGAGATATGCATATGGATGAATATTTTAGTGCATATACTTTATAAGCAGAAGTAACGAGACCTCTGTTTTTCTTGATTTTTATTCTTTTGAGAAGCATTGTTTGAAGAAAAGCTTTTAAGAGTCATATTCAGTATTTGTTATAGTAAAGAAACTTGGGGGCTGAGGATGTAGCTCAGTGGGAGGTCATGTGATTAGCATGTGAAAGACCCTGGGTTCAATCCCCAGCATCCCCCCCCCCCCCAACCACCCAAAAAAAAAGGAACCTGGAGGAAATTTTTTTTTTTATAAAAATATTCTTTTGTTAGTTAATTCTTAAACATTTGGCAATTTATTTCTGATATATGTATTATGCAGATGTTTTTCAAATTAATTAAAAATTTAATGTTTCTACTTGGCAGATATGAATTTAAGAACTTTGAGACTATTTACCTTAAAATTATGTAAGATAAATTACAATTTAGATCTTAAGACATTCTATAATTTTAGGATGAGTTGCAGACTGAGGGCAGTCAGCATTACCTTTAATGTCAGGAAGCATAGTAGTATATTCTTGATTATAAAACACTGAAAGTGATCTTTCACATTAATTCTTGGAATTAGTGATTATTTTCACATTAAAATATTATTTTATTAGTCTTAGAATTACTTATTTGACCAGAAAATACTCATGAATAGTTGAAGGTCTTCCCTTTCTTTGAGTCTTTTTGCATTTCTTCAGCAATAACGAGGGATTCCTTCCTAATAAAGCAGACACTTTTAAGTGTATGTGTAATAGGTTCATTAGGGATTGTGTATGAATAAATCACATCTCCTCTGGTGCTTAAGGTCATCCTGATTTAGGTATATGGTGGCGTCTCATATTTCATAAATGAGTACCTGAAATATATATTGCATTCATCTGGAAGGAGTCTAATAGACCCACTTAAAGTACTGTTAACATCTCTTATAATTTCATGTTTTGGCAGGTAAACCTAGCCTTTAAGCAACCTGGAAAGAGGCTAGAGCACCAAGGAATTAGAATTGAATTTGTAGGTCAAATTGGTGAGTTTTAAAATAGTATTACTTTTTCTTTTGATAACTTGAGTTTGAAGAGGGTTGGATTTGGCACTTAAATAATTAAGAGTTAAACTTGGTGGAAGGAAGGAATTGATTTTGCATAATAAAAGAGGACTTAATATATTAAATCAGAATGTTTCTTTTAATTGTATTAAATTGCATTTGACTCATTCTGCCTGTATTATTGGATTTTACTACTAAAACTGAAAGATATTATATAAACTACTAGCCTTGAAAAATCAATTGGCTCACTCACCAAAATTTTCATCTGTCTACATTTTCACCAACCTTACAACTACCAGCTTCACCTTCATTTTTCATTCTCTAATTATCCATGCCATTTGTCTTCCTGACCTAGTGTGTGCCTGTAGCCAGACTCACCTGGTAACAGAAAATTCCATGTGAAAAGGAAAGGGATGATTTATTCTTAGATCAAATTGTGTACATTTCCATATATGTATTTTAGAGACATTCTTGATTTAGCTGGGAGTTAAATTGTATATAAATCTTTTATACTATATATTCAGAAAAAAGAGGGTTAGGAGTATGGCTCAGAGAGAGGTAGAGTGCTTGCCTAAGCATGTGCAAGACCCTGGGATCAGATCCCCCCATACCATAGATAGAAAAGAAAGTATGTCTTTTCAATACTGTCTACAAAGCTAGGTTTTTAAATCTAGTTTTCTAAGTTTTACTGTACATTTTTAAAGCATCAAAAATGGAATGGGTAGATATTTGTTTACATATTATTCTGAATGAGATTGTACTTAAGGGTCAAATTGTAATAATTAACTGATAGTTGGTTTTATTCTTTTGTGTATTACAGTTTTATCAAGGTAATATATTTGTCCAAAACAAAACAACAAAACAGAATTTTTGCCTTAAAGGGAAGAAGTTCAAATAATTGCTGGTAATGTGTCAAACAGCTTTATATTGGGGGAAATCCCTAACTACATCAAAAGGAATGAACTCATTTCTGATAGGAATTTTCATTGTGCTATGCTTCTTGAATTTAGTGATGCCTAGGTGGAGCATAATAATGGGGATGATAAAATTCAGATCATAGTTCTAGTTTATTAGAGACAAATCCAACTAATTCTTTTGGTAAAAATTATTTGCTTTGGAGGTAGAAGTTTGGGTTTTATTGAAATGGACATTAAAATATAATTAGTCTTTTGCTGTTTTAAATTTCTTAGAACTCTTCAATGACAAGAGTAATACCCATGAATTTGTAAACCTAGTGAAAGAACTAGCCTTACCTGGAGAACTGACTCAGAGCAGAAGTTATGATTTTGAATTTATGCAAGTTGAAAAGCCATATGAATCTTACATCGGTGCCAATGTCCGCTTAAGGTATGAATGTATTACAAACTATAAGCAGAGTCAAAACCAGAAAGTAATGGCTCTTATTAATGTCTTATTTGAACTCCTAGTTGTAATTCTGTACTGAAGATTTAAGGTTGGAAAATGTTCTGCACATTACTTTGTTTGGCTAGGACTGATCTGAAGAGTTTTTTTTTTTTTTTTGATACCAGGGATTGAACTCAGGGGCACTCAACCACTGAGCCACACCCCCAGCCCTAATTTGTATTTTATTTAGAGACAGGGTCTCTCTGAGTTGTTTAGCGCCTCACTTTTACTGATGCTGGCTTTGAACTCACGATCCTCCTGTCTCGGCCTCCCAAATTGCTGGGATTATAGGCATTCACCATCAATGCCCAATGACTGGAAGAGCTTTTTAACATAGATTCAGAGAAACCATATGAAAAGTTTCAGTTATATATTTCCTTTGTGTGAATTATCTTTTAAGTACTTCATTTGTGAAGAAGTACCTAAAATTTCCATCTGTCCACATTTTGAACTGAATTACTCTCCAAATATATTTATTTTCTAATGAATCTTATTCAATATATGGTTAAGAAGTGATCTGGAACTCCAAAGAGGCTGACTTATCTGAAAGTACAAAAGACGCAAATGGCAGAACTGAAGTAGGAACCCAGTTTTCTAAATTCTCAATCCAGTATCCTTTCCCTAGGTCTTCTTGCAGGAAGCCATGAATGCTTCAGGGACCAGGGCAATTAAAGATACTAATCTGAATGCATCAGGTCTAAGAACCTGCTTTCTTAGCATTGTCCATCTGTTACTGGATTTGACAGCCCAAATGCCAAACAGCAGTACTTTAACTAGATATAGATTTCCTTACATAGGTTTGACAGTTTCCCTGCAAACTTATCTGAAAAGTATTTATTCTTAAAATTGAATTTTCTTCCCCCATATGCGGAACAGTTTTTTTGTTTTTGTTTTTTATTAAGAGGGCTAGGAGTATAGCTTAGTGATAGAATGCATACCTAGCATTTGTGTGGCCCTGCACCAAGAAAAAAAAAATTAGAACACTTTCATAAGGTAAATGCAAAATGTAGTAAGTTGACCCCAAAGGAATTCCAGCCAAGAAAAAACTGAGGTAATGTTTGCATATTTAGAATATTTAAATTTATCATAGGTGATTTATCTCATTTCCTCTATTAATTTTATAGGTATTTTCTTAAGGTGACAATAGTGAGAAGACTGACAGACTTGGTGAAAGAGTATGATCTTATTGTTCACCAGCTTGCCACCTATCCTGATGTTAACAACTCTATTAAGATGGAAGTGGGCATTGAAGATTGTCTGCATATAGAATTTGAATACAATAAGTCAAAGTAAGTACCTTTCACAGATGAATGTTCAGGGAAAATTTAAAAATAAGCTTTTCAGGCCTTTGTAAATTGATCACCATAAGGATAGAATTAATATTAATCTGATGTTAACAGACTGACAGTCTCTGAGCTACAAGAAATTTGAGGAGTTTGGTCTTGCTTCCACCCCAGGGAAAGTATCTTTTATATTCTCTTCCTGATAAGATTCTGCTTGATCACTTTATGTAGAGGATCTTAACATCTCAGAAGTAGCCAGTTTCATTTGTCTGTAAAATTTACTAGCTTGATATCACTTCATCCTGGCTATTTATTTAAACTGAAACAAAAATTCTTTTTTTCTGACTACATAAACAGTACTTTTTCATTATTGAAAATTTGGAGGATGTAAAAAGTGAAAGGAAGTAAAAACGTCACATATGTTCACCTTTACTATTTAACCACTAATAATATTCTCTTGTGTGTCTGTTTTGGGGGTGTGGTATATATATATATATATATATATATATTTTCAAAATGGGTTCATACTTATTATTTAATACCTTTTTAAATTTTATTATGGAAGATTTCAAACAATGCCAAAGTACATGAATATTGAATAATATAATGAATCTTCATGTACCCATTGCCCAGCTCCAACAGTTACTAGCTGCTTTGTTTTGTCTGTATTTAGCTCCCACACTTCTCACAGACTATATTGAAACAAATTCTAGACACATAATTTAGTCTAAAAAATTATGCATTATTTTAGTGTAACTACAATACTATTCAAAAATATTAACTCCTTAATATTTCTATAAATATAGTCAGCATTCACATAACCCAAATTGACTCATTTTTTGTCTCTTTTTTTCACATGATTTGTTCAAATCTGTATCCAAACAAGATCCACAAATTTCATTGGATTTTTTTGACTCTTAAATCTCATAATTTTATATTTTTCCCATTTTTTTATTAAAGTTTTAATTTGTTGAAGAAATAGATGGCTTGTTTTATCTCTCTTCTACATATTATTCTCTTACATAATTTTTTATTGTCACTGCCAACTTTATAGCACTTAAAATTTGATATATGTGTCTATAGAATCTTAAATTGTTGATAAATTATCAGATACTTGGAAACCTAAACACTTGTCACTGGAGTTTCCCTTCAGACTCATGTGGTTGTATTCCCAGATTTGTTAGCACCTTATTTCAAATAATTTAGCAAGGTTCTTTGATTATTAAATAATATACAACAAAATCAGATCTGTGGAGGTAGCCCCAATTAATCTCTCTTTGAGGTCAGATTTGTTAGTTGTATTATTGTAGCATTTATAATGATGCTGTTATATAGAACTTTTTTTTTTTTTTTTTTTAAGAAAGAGAGAGAGAGACAGAGAGAGAGAAAGAGAGAGAGAGAGAGAGAGAATTTTAATATTTGTTTTTTAGTTTTCGGCGGACACAACATCTTTGTTTGTATGTGGTGCTGAGGATCGAACCTGGGCCGCACGCACGCCAGGCAAGCGCGCTACCGCTTGAGCCACATCCCCAGCCCTATATAGAACTTTTAATGTTGAAAATATCTTCAACTGGAGGCCAGTCTGGGCAACTTAAGCAAGACCCTCTCTCAAAATAAAAAGAACAATAAAAAGGGCTGGGGGTATAGGTCAGTGATAAAGTGTCCTGGTTCCATTTATATTACAGTTGATCAGTCAATCAATAAAATGAAAATATATTCATTCACTTGAAACAAATATTTCAAGCATAAAGAATCTAATTTTCTATTTGGTTAACTGCTTAGATTCTGTAGGCAATAAGTCCTAAGTAGGACCAACAATTCATCAGGCTAATTGTTCCCTCCGAGATATTGAAGGTCAAGTAAAAGTTTGATAGCATACTTTATCATAGTGAAATGAAAAGGGACCTGAAACATTATGAATAGTCAAAATGGTATTCTTAAAGTTGTTATCTTAAAGATACCTATTAAAGCCTTCCATGGCTTATTTCACTCTTTTTCTTGTTTTTAAAATATACTTAGTGATATGTATTCTCTCCCAATAGATATCATTTAAAGGATGTGATTGTTGGAAAAATTTACTTCTTATTGGTAAGAATAAAAATACAACACATGGAGTTACAACTGATTAAAAAAGAGATCACAGGAATTGGTAAGTTGAAGAAAGTATTTGAATTAAAATTTCCTTCTTTTAGTTGAAATTTTAGAAATCTCGAAATTTTATTTCAACATAAAATCATTTGATAGCCACATTGGAAACTGACTTTGCTTTGCTGCCTATAAGAAATCCACTTAATGCTTTTTTAAAAACTGGTTTTTGAGCTGGGTGCGGTGGCATGCATCTGTAGTAGGACCACCTGTTCTGAAGACTGAGGCAGGAGACTCTCTTGAGCTCAGGAGTTCAAGGCCAGCCAGGACTACACAGCAAGACCACATCTCTTAAAAATATAAAGAAATACATAAAAATTTGAATAGGTGGCAATTTCACTTTGCTCAACAAGTATGAAAGACTATATGGTAGCCAGGCATGGTGGCACATGCCTGTAATCCTGGTGACTAGGGAGATTGTTACAAGAGGATCACAAGTTAAAGACCAGCATGGGTAATTTAGCAAGAACCTGTCTCAAAGAATAAAAAAGGGCTGGGGGTGTGACTCAGTGGTAAAGTGCTCCTGGGTTCAGTCCCCAGTACCGAAAAAAATAATAAATAAATAGGGCTGGAAATGTACCTCAGTGGTTGCCTAGCATATATGAGGTCCTGGATTCAATCCCTGGTACAAAAAAAAAAAAAAAACCAGTAAAAAGTATCATATTTCAATACTTAAGTTATTAATAGGTAATACATTTATAAGTTTTTAAATCCTCCTAGAAGCTGGGCACAGCAGCATGTGCTATAGTGCCAGCTACTTTGGAGGCTGAGGAAAGAGAATTACTTGAGCCCAGGAGTTCAGGGTCAACCTGGGAAACAGTGAAACCATGTCTTTTTTGATAAAAGGTGAAAGATTTATACAACCTAAAGAGAAACCAGAGTATGAGACCCTATCTCTTAAAAAATATTTATAATTGGTTATCAAAATAATAAATATCTGGGGCTGTAGTTGTGGCTCAGTGTTAGAGTGCCTAATGTGTGAGGCACTGGGTTCGATTCTCAGCACTGCATATAAATAAATAAAGGTCCATCGACAACTAAAAAATATATATTTAAAAAAATGAGAAACATCTGTGATTTTTTAATCTCCATTTTTTCACATGCTAGCAAAAAGTAAGTGATTTTAAGATATTAAAACACAACTTGAGCCAGGAGTGGTGGTGCTCACCTATAATCCCAGTGCCTCAGAGTATTGCAAGTTCAAAGCCAGCCTTAGCAACTTAGGGAGGCCCTAAGCAAGTTAGTGAGACCCTGACTCAAAATAAAAAACAAAATGGGCTGGGGATATGATACCAAAAGAAAAAAACAAATAAACAAAAAACCCCAACAATAACACAAAAACGTTACTTGAGTTTCTCATTTGTTGTTTAAAAAGAAATTGTTTAAACTTTTTTTTTTTAATATTTATTTTTTAGTCGTAGTTGTACACAATACCTTTATTTATTTATTTTTATGTGGTGCTGAGGATTGAACCCAGGGCCTCGCACATGCTAGGCGAGCGCTCTACTACTGAGCTACAACCCCAACCCCTAAACTTTTTTCTTGATAAAAAAATTATGTTCTAGTATAGAAAATTTTTAGTTTTTGATACTGAGGGATTGAACCCAGGGGAACTTTACTACTGAGTAACATCCCCAGTTTTTTTTTAATTTTGATGCAAGGCCTTGCTAAATTGCTGAGACTGACCTCAAACTTGCAATCCTTCTGCCTCAGCCTATTGAGTCACTGGGATTACAACTGTGAGCCACCACTCCCAGCAATTGCAGAAAATTTTAAATGAGGCGTTGTTCCCTCATCCAGCTCTCCATCCTCTTAACCACTTCCACTGCTTCGGACTTGGGCAGCTTTATCACCAGAGTCCCTGAACTCCAGCTTTCTTTTTAACCTACTGCATTGCATCACCAGTGTGTCCCCCCATGTCAGACGCTGCCATGGACACTAGCTCTGAGATCACCACAGAAGACTTAGAGGAGAAGAAGTTGTGGAGGAGGCAGCTAATGAAAGGATGCCCCTGCTAATGGCAATGCTAATGAGGAAAAGGGGGAGCAGGAAGCTGACAATGAGGTAGATGAAAGAGAGGAAGAGGAGGAGACCATGGCAGCTGCCAAAAAATGGGCAGCTGAAGATGTCGAGAATAATGATATGTTGATGCCAAGAAGCAGAAGACTGATGAGGATGACTAGACAGCAAAGAATGAAAAGTTAAACTGATTAAGGAATAAAGAAAGTCCACTGTGAATTATTCACCCTCCACTTCCCATCTCAGAATCTAAACATTGTTACCTTTGGGTAGAGAGTGCTCCTGTCTGCCCACCTTGGGCACCATCTTCAGATGATATACTTTCCACCACCTAATCAAAACCACAGTGTGAATATTGAAGACGGGAGGTGAAAAAGAACCAACACTTCAAGACCCTGAATTTTTTTCTTAAAAGTACTTTAAGAAAGGAAAATTTGTTCGCATTTTTTATTTACATTTTAATTTTTGTACATATTATTAGTAGTCAGCCATTTTTTTTTAAAGAGAGAGAGAGAAAATTTTAATATATATTTATTTTTTTAGTTTTCAGCGGACACAACATCTTTGTTTGTATGTGGTGCTGAGGATTGAACCTGGGCCGCACGCATGCCAGGCGAGCGCGCTACCACTTGAGCCACATCCCCAGCCCAGTAGTCAGCCATTTTTAATGATCTTGAGCAGACAAGACTTTGGAGCGTTTTCCGTCCTACTTGTGATTTTACTTATGTTATTACCGTGTTCATTATAATCTCAAAGGAGAAAAAAAAAAACGAGAAAAAAATAATCTTTTTTTTTTACCAGGGATTGACCAAGGGGCACTTAATCACTGAGCCACATCCCTAGCCCTTTTTTTATATTTTATCTGACAGGATCTCGATAGGTTGCTTTGTGCCTTGCTAAGTTGCTGAAGCTGGCTTTGCGATCCTCTTACCTCAGCCTCCTAAGCAGCTGGGATCACATGCTTGTGCCACCACATCTGGCTAAAAAAAAAAAAAAAAAAAATCTTATCCCAAGCATTCCAGTATTTTTTTTTTTGGTATACTTACTTTCTTTTTAAATATTTTTTTTAGTTGTTGATAGACCTTTATTTTATTTATTTATATGTGGAACTGAAAATCAAACCCAGTACCTCACACGTGCCAGGCAAGTGGGCTACCACTGAGCCCGAGCCCCAGCCCCAGCCTTGTATATATACTTTAGCTATACTATAAGTAGTTGGTTTGTATGAGGTGGTTAAAAAGGCCAAAGATAGGGCTGGTGATATAGCTCAGTTGGTATAGTGCTTGCCTTGCATGCATAAGGCCCAGCGTTCAATCCCCAGCACTACACACACACACACACAGACACACACAAAAGGCCAAAGATAAAAATGGTCCCTCCCCCCTTATTTGTATATGAAGTTGCTCTTTATTTTTTTGGCCTCTTTGATGTATGTGTGAAACAATGTTGTCCAACAATAAATCAGAATTTTATTTTGCTAATTTGTTCTAACAAAAGAAAAAGAAAATTTTAAATACAAAAAATTTACTCATCAGCAACAACAGCCTTTAATCTTTAATACTAAGAGTAAGAGTAGATCAAGCCAGGTGCGGTGGCACATACCTGTAATCCCAGCAGCTTGGGAGGCTGAGGCAGGAAGATTTCGAGTTCAAAGCCAACCTCAGCAAAAGCGAGGTGCTAAGCAACTCACTGAGACCCTGTCTCTAAATAAAATATAAAACAGGGTTGGAATCTGGCTCAGTGGTTGAGCGCCCCCAATCCCCAGTACCAAAAAAAAAAAGAGTAGATCAAAAACTATAAATGAATGAGGAACATTTTCACAAAATGGGGAAAAAATAATAGTAAAATAATGTGGTTGGAAATAGAAGAAGGTATAAGGCTGGGGATTATATTCTGGAAGTATTTAAATTAATGCCATTTACATTATTACATTTACCAGGACCCAGTACCACAACAGAAACAGAAACAATCGCCAAATATGAAATAATGGATGGTGCACCAGTAAAAGGTAACACTCTTCCCATTTACTTCTGTGTACGGCAAACAGAAGTGTTTTGGTCAGTTTAGTTTGTGAATATTCATTCATTATAAAAGTATTTATGAATTTCTTTTTCCCACATTTTTGTTGTTGCATTATAATTGTACATACTAACGGGATTTCTTGTTATATTTATGAATTCTTAAAATGGTTCTTATGATGATTTTTTTTTTAAGGATCTCTGTATAGCTGCTGAGAAGACTGTAATAATACTTCCTAGTCGGAAATAAATTTGGTTAAATATTTCACTCAGTTCAAATTTAGAATTCAGAAGAGACAATTTTGTGCATCTCCTTTCTGGTTCTGAATTTGTAATTTTTTTTGTTTTCTGTTATAATAGTTCATCTTTGTACATCTTTTTATTCTCACATTGACCATAAGATGCAGTATAACTGAGCATTAATTCCTGTCAGATTTTGGAGTCGTCATAGTCTCTAAAAAAAAAAAAGAGCAGTTAGTTCCCTAACTAGATAACCTTTAGTGTCTGAGACCTCCTGAGCTGATTTCAGGTTTGCACCACCACATTCAGCTCTAAAACTTACTTTTTATATGAAGTATTTATCATAAAACTTATTCTCATTTGAAAGACAGGCTTTGGTGAGTTTTGAATGAAGATCTATATAACAGAAAACTTAAATCATAGTTAAATAGTAATTTAGAAGAGAAAGTTCACTCCATTAAGGTGGCCATAATGCTGTATAATTCAACATATGTAATTTATAATTTTAAAATAAGTTACATGATATTTGCAATTTCCAAATCAGTTGCACGTTATGGCACTACTGGAGAAAGTGTTTTGTTTCCCACAGGCATTCATTTGAAAGACTGTTGTATATGTAGGTTTTAAAAAAAAAAATTTTGTCTGAATTTTTTTCACTTTGGAATTACTTCAAAAAGTAGCTACCATTTATGGAGTACAGGTTGTGGATGAGGCATTGCAGGTGAGGTGCTCTAAAGCTCCCTACCACTGTTCAAGTTAGGTGCTTATATCCTGTATTTTACACCTTGAAATTAAGGTGCCAAGGTTCAAAACTATACTAAAGGTGGGGGAGCTAATCATTACAGAGGAGAGGTTTGAACCTAGACCTTTTTGACTCTAAAGCCCATATGTTTGTACTTATGTTAAACAACATTACTTGCAAAATTTCACCACCCATACATTTTTATGAAGTGATGGATTTTATACCTTTCAACAAATAAATGTGCATAAAAAATACTACATAAAATATTAAAAAGAGAACATGCAAATAATTACTGTCCTTAGGAAAACAGAAGCCATGTGAACTTTTTGGTAATGAAGGCATGTTGTCGTTCTGTACATGTTTGTTTTAGATGGATTAGTAAAAAGTTTTTAACATTTTACACATGATTAGAAATTAGGTAAACTTGTGAAAGTAGAAAAATAAACTAAACTACTGGCTGGCACTGTTGTAAAGTCTATGTATTTTAACCCACATAGCTCTTATAAATTCCCTATTGGAGGAGTATTGCTTGTCTTCATTTTACAGTGAGGAATTCGAAACAGAATAAGTCCTCAAAGCCAAGGTCTTATAGCCAGTAAGTGGTGGAACTGAAATTTGACATAGGCATTTTGACTCTAGAGCATTGATTCTCATCAAGGGGCAACTTTGTCCTCCAAGTGACATTTGGTATTGTCTGGAGACATTTTTAGCTGTCATAGTTGGGGAGTGCTCCTGGCTTCTGGTGGGTAGAGGCCAAGGATGCTGCCAAGTGCATAGGACCTTCCCCATAACAACCAATTATCCAGCCCAAAATGTCAGTAGTGCCTATTGCTGCATCTCATGAGGAAGAGGAATGTAAGCATTAGTGTCTCCCCTGTAATGCTTAGTCCTAGGTTTTATGTGACTAATCATCTTTTAGAATTAAACGGAAATTGCTTTTATTTCAGGTGAATCCATTCCAATAAGACTGTTTTTAGCAGGCTATGATCCAACACCAACAATGAGAGATGTGAACAAAAAATTTTCAGTAAGGTACTTCTTGAATCTAGTGCTTGTTGATGAGGAAGACAGAAGGTACTTCAAGCAGCAGGTATGGTTCCACCCACGCTAGTCATTTTAGATGTAAAATCACCGAGAAAGCACTCTCTTTTCTAAGCATCATACTGGGCAGGTCGGGTGGGGGAGGTTCTAAATAATTTAAAATACTGAGGGTATAATAAAGAGTAGGTATTGTGATAGACCTCTCCCCAGTCATTCTGTAGGATTCTGAAATGAGCTGTAATTTTTCAAGGCTTTTATTTTTTTCTCTTAAAAAGCTTTTTTTTTTTTTTTTTTTTTTTTTAAGTAGAAACAATATAGCAGTACTTGCTGTTCAAAAAAATTCAAGCAATTAAGAACAAAGAAGGTGGGGCTGAGGCTGTTGCTCAGTGGTAGAGCATTTGCCTAGTATGCGTGAGGCACTGGGTTTGATCCTTGGCACCACATAAAAATAAATAAATAAAATAAAGGTATTGTGTCCATCAACAAATGGAAAAAAAAAAGAACAAGGAAGTAAAGGCCAACAAAATTCCTTTTAAAAAATCAATAGTTTCTTGAATATTTTTCTCATCAATTACTATAGATCTCCATGGTCACTTTTTTTTTTGGTGGTGGTGGTACTGCAGACTGAACTCATGGCTTTACCTGGGCTTAGACAAGTACTCTACTACCTAGCTACATCCTAGCCCTTTATTTATTTATTTTAAAGAGAGAGAAAGAGATATTTTTAAATATTTATTTTTCAGTTTTCGGTGGACCCAACATCTTTATTTTATTTTTATGTGGTGCTGAGGATCAAACCCAGCGCCCCTGCGTGTTACCACTTGAGCCACATCCCCAGCCCCCCTAGCCCTTTATTTTAAGATAGGGTTTTGCTAAGTTGCTTAAGCTAATCTTGAACTTGTGATCCTCCTGTCTCAGCCTTTTGCGCCTAGGTTGTTGTATTTTTTTGTTGTTGTTGTAGTTGTTATTTTGGTGCTGGGGATTGAACCCAGAGGCCCATAACTACTGAGCCATATCCCCAGCCCATTTTATTTTTTATTTTGAGACAGAGACTGGTAAGTTGCTTAGGGCCTTGCTAGTTGCTGAGACTGGCTTTGAATTTGTGATCCTCCTGCTTCAGTCTCCTGAGCCACTGGGATTACAGGCATATGCCACCACACCCAGGATTGTTTCTTAATGAAGGCTACATTTGAAGGATTTGGAGGTTTTCATTTTTCCCTTATTAAGCAGTTTTGTTATAAATGTACGCGTGTTGACTCAGCCCTAATACTTCTTTTTTTTTTTGGTACTGGGGATTGAATCTGGGGGTGCTTAACTACTGAGCCATATCCCAGCCCTTTATTTTATTTAGAGACAGGCTGTCCATAAGTTGCTGAGGCTGGCTTTAAACTCGTGATCCTATTTCCTTAACCTCCTGAGCCACTGGGATTTCAGGTGTGCACCACCACATTCAGCTCTAAAACTTACTTTTTATATGAAGTATCTATCATAAAACTTGTTCTTATTTGAAAATCAGCCTTTGGTGAGTTTTGAATGAAGATTTATATAACAGAAAACTTAAATCAGTTAAATAGTAATTTAGAAGAGAAAGTTCAGGGAGGGGAGGGGGGATAGTAGGGGATAGGAAAGGCAGCAGAATACAACAGTCACTAATATGGCATTATGTAAAAATTGTGAATGTGTAACTGATGTGATTCTGCAATTTGTATTTGGGGTAAAAATGGGAGTTCATAACTCACTTGAATCAAATGTATGAAAGATGATATGTCATGAGCTTTGTAATGTTTTGTACAACAAAAAAAAGAAGAGAAAGTTCACTCCATTAAGGTGGCCATAGTGCTGTATAATTCAACGTATGTAATTTATAATTTTAAAATAAGTTACATGACATTTGGAATTTCCAAATCAGTTGCATGTTATGGCACTATTGGAGGAAGTGTTTTGTTTCCCACAGGCATTCATTTGGAAGGCTGCTGTATGTGTTGTTTAAAAAAACAAAAAAACCACTAGCTAGTCATCACTTGATGAAGGAGATTATGTTAGGAATTGGTTAGAGTTAGGATTTAGGCAGAGTAACAAGGATTTGATTATGTAAGGGAAATGCTAGGACATTTGGCGTGCATTACAGGTAGAGAGTGATTGATTTTGACTGGTAGGGGAGAAGCATGTATGGAGGGAAGCTGGTCGTGTTTTAGATTTAGGATATGGAGGGCCCTGAATATGTTTGGAGATTTATCCTGAGGCACTGATAACTATTGAAGAGTAATTCAAACAATGTTTTACAAGATTAATCTGGTAGTGATATGAAGGATGAATTAGAAAGGGGTCTCAGTCAAGAGCCATCTATGAGGAAGTTGGTTTAGTATCTAAGGTTGAAATGACAAAAGAGTTTGAACTTGGATGAGGGCAGTGTAACAAGAAGCCACAGGATAGATTTTAGGACTTTCTTTAAAGCAGTAATAGCCAGGACTTTGTTCCAGATTTGACTGGCAATGTTGTGCCTGATGCTGGTTCAGGGAGCAGGGAGGCATAAGATACAGTCCAGGATTGAAATCAGAAGAAAGTGCTTAGTCAGGAAAGATTTTATTTATTTATTTTTTATTTATTTTTTTAAATTTACGTATGTGGTGCTGGGGATCAAATCCAGGGCCTTGTGCATGCAAGGCAAGCATTCTACCAATTGAGCTGCATCCCCAGCCCAATCAGGAAAGATTTTGTAGAGAGAAATTTAATTGTGTTAAAATTGAAGTAGCAGTCAGTATTTCCATGGTGAAAATTGAAGACATAATGGAGAACATTAATTTGTTGCTATCTCGCACTTACTTTTGTAGGAAATCATCTTATGGAGAAAAGCTCCTGAAAAACTGAGGAAACAGAGAACAAACTTTCACCAGCGATTTGAGTCTCCAGAGTCACAGGCATCTGCTGAACAGCCTGAAATGTGAACTGAAAAGAAGGGAAAAAAACCAAAAAACTGTAACTGTTGAAATTAAGTTCAGCAGGTTAAAGATGGTTGCAGCTTGTAGGGGCGGGGTGGGGGGAAGCCAAAACTCCATGCATAACAGTCTTCCTTTATCTTACAGTGCTGCATTTACTTTACAGTATAACTAAATGTACGTACCTACATTTTACAAAGTGCTTTCTTTGAGACACTGGAGATTTCTTAGGCTGCCCTTATTTTTTTTTTTTAACTGCACACTTTGATGATGAGCACTCAGATATGCATCAGCATAAACATTAAAGATTTTCATGCAGGTAGGCTGGGATTTGTAATTTTGCTTTCTTTCTGCATAATGTTGATTATAAATCTTTTTCTCCTTTTTTTTTCTTTTTTGCTAATGATTACCTCTTACTCTCTCCATGCAAAAAATCAAATATTTTGTGTTCAAATAAAACTAGAAAACCTGATTAGCTCTTACATCCTGCAAAGACTTAAAATATAGCATCTCGGTGTTTTTGAGAATTCCATTTGTTTTTATGTATGTATTTGAGAAATGTATATGAATTTTTTCATTGTAGGTGTTTCTGGGTCTGCCATTTCATGGCTTCTTGTGTTTTATCCTCTTTGAAGTCTTTTATAGTATGAATGTAAAATTTTTTCCCAAGGGATGAGATGGCTTTTCATTTTGGCACTTGTGTCCCACTGCCTCATATTAAGTAACCATTTTGCTACAACTTTCCAGCAGTACTACCATATGTGTTCTGCAGTGTGGAGTTGATGTATGTTGGCATTTTAGAACTTGCTAAAACTATATGAATTTTTCCATAAATACTTTGAAACATATGTGTATATATATATATTTTTAAATTTAAAGAGTCTTTTTGCCACATTTATGCAAATATCATTTTCTTGACTTTACAAATTTGTTCTTTTTACTTTTCAGTGGAAAATTTGGGGGACTCAGGAGGAACTTGTGAAGCATGTAGCTAACCCAGATATGCACAGTTTCATGTTTGTTAAACTGGAGCTTTGGCTAGTTCAAACTCCATTAAACTTCACCAGTCTGTTTTAATTTTTTTTTAAACACTAAAGTCATTTGTTCAACATCTCTTAAAAGAAGGTTGCAGTTATCTGATCATATATATGGGATCTGATCTCAAATACACTAAATGTGGAGCGTGGGAACCAAAACAAAGCCTCCTATGTGAAAACTATTTTCACTTATGGTTCATTGGTTTTTGTACCAATATTTAAAAATACTTCAGTGCAAGTTTTGTCAGTTAACCTTACTTTATGAGTAAGCTAAATAATCCAAATTACATTTCTTTAAACCTGTTTTACTACTATGGCACTTTGATAAAATGGTCAGTAACCAACTTTATTTACTGGCCAAAGGTTCCATGTACCATGTGCTGGAGCATCTATTTTAAATGGGGGTATCTATGAATGGTAACGTTTTCCTTCATGTAAGTGCCTGTTCAGAGTTTCAAAATTTAAAAATGCCAAATATTTTCATGGTCACTTGCATGTAGTAATCTAGAAAATATTCAAAGATTTTGAAAACCAAGTTGTATTTAACCAGCCTCAAATTGTGCAACCATGTATAATAAAGAATTTGAAACAGAAACTGAGCTTGCAGTTTGATTAAAATAGCTTTATTTTCAAAGTCTTGTCATTGTTAGAATTAATGTTGAGGATTGGATCACTCAATAGTTTAGGAAGCTACAATTGTGACAAATTTTCATAAGTAATACCAGTTTGTTTTACATAGTTACATAAGGCTTTTAATTAAGTTGACTTAAAACACTTGTCATATACAAGATGCTTTTTCACTTTGCTGGAGACTTTTTGTTGCATAACCAACTTGAAAAGTAATCTGAATTCAGTATTTGATAATTTGAGTCCAAAGTGATCAGTAACTGGGCTTGGTGGAGCACACCTGTAATGCTAGCAACTCAGGAAGCTGAGGCAGAAGGATCACAAGTTCAAGGCCAGCCTCAGCAATTTAGTGAGGCCCTAAGCAACTTAGACCCTGTCTCAAAATAAAAAAAAGGGCTGGTGATGTAACTCAGTGGTAGAGCATCATATGTATTCAAACCCTAGTACAAAAAAAAAAAAAAAAAAAAAAAAAGAAAGAAAAGTGGCCAGCTAGAAATAATAAACTGAAAAAGAAATCTGTGTTTTTAGTAAAGAATACAATGCCTAATAACCAGTTCAGTGATTCTCATTATGGCTGCATGTTAAAATCATCTTAGTAGCTTTTAAAAATAACCATGGTTGCTGGGTACTGTGGTGCACACCTGTAATCCCAGCAGCTCGGGAGGCTAAGGCAGGAGGATCACGAGTTCAAAGCCAGTCTCAGCAATTTATTTAGCGAGGCTCTAAGCAACTTAGTTGAGACCCTATCTCTAAATAAAAGATAGAAAAGGATTGGGGATGTGGCTCAGTGATTAAGCACCTGTTGGTTCAATCTCAGTTACCAAAATAAATAAATAAATAAACAAACCATGGCCGGATCTCACTGAGACTACTAAAACCAGTATCTCAGAGGCTAGGACATTTAAAAAAAAAGGGTTGAGAAACACTAATTTAGACCTTCAAGTGGTTATTTCCTCTCATTAGTGAAAAATTTTCTTATTTTGATACAGGTGAGGAACACTTTTCCTCTATACTGTTACACTAAGTGCTTGGAGACGGTGCATTAAATTGACAAAAAGAAAAAATACACAAAAAAAAGAATCCATTTTATAACATGAGGGTTCACAAAAATGTGATTCAAAGAAGTGGGTAGGATTTGGGGTTTATTATATGCCATCTTAATAGAGGAAGTGTGGGGAGAAAGGATATTTTAGAAGATAAATGGGTCCTTAGAATACCAAGAGGATAATTTTTGTGATACTCTATTTTTGGTGTGGTGCCCACTTACTGTCTCTGGGGATAAAAGTCAGTTTTCCCTAACTGCTCCTGGGGAAGGGATTTGTGGTAACTAAGTTCTTTTGAGAAGTTCAGCTTATAAGCAGATTGTGATTTCAGGGATACCAAATGCCTTCTCAAAATATTTTTTATGCCTTAGAGGCCTATTCTGGAACCTTTCAATACGGATCAATTCTAATTACAATTTGATAAGTTCTTTGCTTTCCATTTATATTCAATTGAATCTCTTTAGTATGCATAAAGACACCCTCCAGTGACTATACCAGTCAGTATGAGAACTTAATATTTTAAGTTTCAAACCACATATAAAAGCCAAGCATGGTGGCGCACATCTATAATCCCAGCGGCTTGGGAGGCTGAGGCAGGAGGATGGCAAGTTCAGAGCCCCTCAGCAAAAGCAAAGCATTAAGCAAGTCAGTGAGACCCTGTCTCTAAATAAAGCACAAAAGAGGGCTGGGGATGTGGCTCAGTGGTCGAGTGCCCCTGAGTTCAATCCCCATTTACCCCCACCCTCACACACACACACACACATACACATACAAAATATTGAGGAAAATGTGCATCCTTCAATACAACCCTATTTTTAATACTTGAGGTCCTATAAGCATTATTTTATGTCATTTTACCCAAAGTCTTTTAGTGATTGAGCTACATCCAGGATAAAATTGGAATTCTACATTGCAGAACATACCTTCAGCTGCAGTTATGCCAGACTTCTAGGAGATGGCCCACTCCTGCATGCTGTTTCAGTAAGGCTGTCCTAGCAAATCTTGCCTGACCCCTGTCCTAGCAAAATTTGTCCTAGCAAATCTTCACCTCCAAGTCAAAGAGTTGTCTCTTTATTCTGCCAAGACATGCTGTGTACCCCTCTGAGACTAAATGACACTTTAAAAAAGACATTTTTTTTTGTGGTGGGGGGAGTACCTGGGATTGAATTCAGGGGCACTCAACCATTGAGCCAAGTCCCCAGTCCTATTTTGTATTTTATTTAGAGACAGGGTCTCACCGAGTTGATTAGCACCTTGTAGTTGCTGAGGCTACCTTTGAACTTGCGATCCTCCTGCCTCAGCCTCCTGAGCGGCTGGAATTACAGGTGTGCACCACCAAGCCTGGCCTGAAAAGACATTTTGATATCTTTTTAATGGTTCAAGTCTGTGGATTTTAAGCCTCTTGAGGGCTCATGCTATTTTGTCTTGGTGTACTCTGCTCATCACGATATTTGAATAAATAGATGAAGCTTATTTTCTTGCAGATTATAAAATTAAAAGTGCTCACCTTTAGGAAAAATGTAGGTCCAATGTACAATTAAATTATGGATAAGAACAATTTTTCTTCTCTATTAGAATAAAGAAATGAACTGGGTTCTCTAGCAGTGTTATCAGGTCCTAAAGAGAAAGCAAGACAGAGCACAGCAGGACCTTGAGGGTACTTTGTAGAACTTCCTGTATAAATTCTGCGGACAAATCTGGTGGATGTCCCCCCCTCCAGGTGTAGGGGAAATGGGCCAAACAGCCTCTAAGACTCCCTTTCTGCTCTAACATACCATGATTCAATCAATAAATCTTAAAAATTCACTTAGGATTATAGGTGTCTAGATCACAAATAGCCTTTGTCTAGGGAAATGCTATAAACTTCAAATTACAGAATTTTATAAGCAATATGTGAGGAGTGGAAATCTATAAGATGTTCTTTTGTGAGGTCTTCAATACCAGGTTTTGTTAATACAAAAAGCAGAAAAGAGAAAACTACATTTATTTGTATTCATGCATGTGTTCAACTCATTTACAAAGAATCTGTTAGTACATTCTCATTTCCGGTACCCTAAGGAATTAAAATTCATAGAATAATGGGTCTCAAAGCATAGGCCCCTAGACCATCAGAGTTGCATCACCTGGAAATGTTAGAAATGCAAATTCTTAAACCCCAACCTAGACCTGCTGTATCAGGAATTTCAGAGGTGGGCCCAACAATATTTTTTAAAACAAGCTTTCCTAGATTTTGATGCGCCCTAATGTTTGAGAACCATTGGTTTAGAGATACATTCTTAGTTTTAGTGCTATGGTAGAGGCCATACAGCTCCCTATGGCATATTAGAGACGCACCCAATGTGTTTAGACCTGACAGCAAAGGCATAACAGATGTGTACTTCTGGCATGAATAGAATGGTAGCTGTGCAGTAGAGAGATGGGGCTAGAAGAGGCATATAGAGAAAGCCAATTCAGGACTGAGCTTGAGTGCCCGCCCTACAAATGAATGGAGTGTGGGCTTTATCTGAACACTTAAATTGAGAATCACTGAAGGATATAAAAAGCCAGATTAGTGTTTTCAAAAGAGCATATGAAGCCTCTGCCAAGTATGGAAGAAAGGTTGACAAGGACATCAGTTATATGATCATTCATTCATTCAATAAGCAAAACATGTATGGAGGTTCTAATGTGTGCGAGGTGTTCATTATACATACTTGGTGTTAGGAATCTCTCTCCAAAGAGAGTGGCATGTTTCTGTTTCATAAAGGCAAAAGTTTCATGCTTTTTAATTTAGTATTTACAGTAGAATTCCTTAATAAATGAAGAGGAAACCTTGTATGTATTATAAAATTCTGGCTACACTTTTATAAACTGCGAGGAGGTACAAACAAAGTTATTATTGGACTAGTCTGGCCCAATAATTAGTATCCTGTTCCTGTCCAAAAAGTCCAATGGTTTGGAATGACACTGTAACAACAACCGCACCCCCTTCACCCCCACAAAAAAACATGCCAAAAGCCATGCAGTATTCATCCGTAAGTATAACTGTACATTACTCCCCCTCTGGAGTATTTCCACTAGTGTTAATATGTTGTGAGAATATGTACTTACAAGCCAAAAAGATTTAGATTAGCATCTGACTCTGCCAGTTAATACTATTTTGGGGGCAGGTTACTACGCTAATGAATTCTATCTGTAAAACTGGCGGCAGTATCTCTAAATGGTTGTCAGGAATATGAACAGACTTAAAGGGAACATCATCACTCTGGCTTCAGTTGTGTTTTAAATGTTAGTTTTCAGATTTAAACGTATGTAAGCCTCATTTTTGGTTTCCATACCTAATAATCCAATTTTTAAATGCCTTTTTCTATTTCCCTTCCCCTTTTCTATCGGGGATTGAACCCAGCCAGGGGTGCTTAACCACTGAACCACATCCCCAGCATTTTTTTTTTGGAGACAGAGTCTCACTCAAGTTGGGTAGGGCCTCGCTAAATTGCTGAGGCTGACTTTGCCTCAGCCTCCCGAGCCGCAATATCTCAATGTTATAGGGGAGGTGAAACATTTTAACAACTTGTTTTGAGCTTCTGTTGCAGCCTCATGAGAATACAGTATCCAATTAACACAAATGAAACTAAACTTTGGCCCTGTGCGGCATACACCTTTGCTATGTAGTTGTGACACACCAGATACTAGGATAACGTATATATATATATATATATATATATATATATATATATATATATATATATATATATATATATATATATATAGAGCTCACATGGAGGCACCAGTTGCGTGTCATACAGGGGCTTTACCTATTACAGTACAACCAAACTTCTCCGCAATCCTTCTGAACAGCGGATCAAGTTATGTTCTCCAACGTTAATTGCCCTATTAGGAAACGAAGATTAACAATGCAATAAACTTTAGGGAAATGCTCTTTAGT